TTTACCGATCGGTACTTTTAAAAAGTATTGAAACCGATTGGTATTTTACCGAAAATTTCAGTTCAGTATTTAATCTTAAAAATTAATACCAATACCAAAACCGATAAATCGATAATGATATTTATCGATACCAATCGGAACCCTACATATATTGGAGATCAGAAAGCACTACTCACTATACATGTGATAGAAATTGATAGATTTTTGATACAATTTGATACAATTATTTAATACAATTAATTGAGTCACTATTAAAATATATAAAATAATTGAGTCAGACACAATTATTTTGAGAATTTTGGTAATTGAATCAACAGCAAAATAATTTACACCACCAGTATACTATCCACTGTGTTATTGATCCACTGATCTAATTTTAAAATTTTTTTTAATTTTCAATTTAATTAATTTATATAATAAAGTATTGCAATATTTTTTTCAAGTTATAGAGTTTGCAAATTCAATGTAGACACATTTCATGATAAATAACTAATTATTTTGTTGAAAATATATTATTTCATCCTATTTATTTAACTTGTGATATTTTTAGTATACTATAAAACTAACAAATTTATTTAACATTCAAGAAAAATTAACTTAATAAAGACTCATCAATCTTCAAGCAAACAATTAATATGATTAAAAACAAATATATTAAGGAAATTTCAAAGGAATAAATTTCTTATCTTTTTGACAAGTATATCAAGAGCATCTTTCATAAAATGCCTAACCTAACAAGATCCAGGTGGTTTTTCTTGTCGTTATTGTTTTTCCCTTCTCCGGTTATTTCTCCAAACATGATTTCATACGTAGATTTGCTGTTATTCACAACATTACCAATCATGTCTGGTTGCTTTGCTCGTGAAGGATCCAGATTTGCAAGTTTACGGACTTTGGCACTCATGCTAGCAGTGTTTGGCCATATGGCTGGATGTATTGAAGCATCGTGAAAAAAGGAACGTAATATTGGGCTAATTATATTCATAGTCAATGTGCCCTCGCTGAGAATGTCCTTCAGTGGCTTAACGGGAATATTTTTGGTTCTGTAGGATAGACAAAAGTGTTATATAGTTAAGAGACGAAAAAGATCATGAGTTTGAACTTACAACTGCAAAAAGATAAATTGCATCATGTCGAACTTTTCCTGATCAATGGGATTTTCAAAAGACTTTGATCTCATTATAGCCTTTTGCG